GCATAAAATATCTATCTAAAACTATCTTCACCACCTTACAGATTTGTGGTATAGCCAAGGCTTCCCCTTGGAACATAACATTTAAAAACATTTAAAAGCTTCAAGTATCCATTAAATAAATCCTATTCTAAGATTATAAAAATAATCTATGCATTGAGGTTTCTTTTTACTTAGCATTTCTAACCTGTGCTGTATTATAGTGAGTTTGCCTACAACAAACCAAGATAAAGGCTAAAGCAGTTTCAATTTCGGAAAAGCCACACGGTGGGGGGACACACATTTTTTCTTGACCAGTGAGCTAAAGCTATGGTTTGTTAGTTATCTAACTGGGAATCTACACTGGCACTTAAACATGCAGGTTGTGCATCGAACTGGCAGTGCTCTTTCATTAACACAATGACATGGGAGGGGGCTGTCTTGTCGCTAAATGTTCTCAATATTAAAATATTTTACCTTGTCAGATTCACTTATAGCCCAATGGAGAGTTCTTAACAATAATTTTTGTAGGCATAATGAACTTTTGTTTATGTGAGCATCCAACACTGAGCTGTTGGGAAGCAAGTCTAAATGAGACTGTAGGGCTACTTTTACATTACATTACATTACATTACATGTCACTTGTTAGACGCTTTTATCCAAAGCGACTTACATACTCAATACTGTGGACAATCCCCACAGGAGCAATTTTGGGGTGAAGTGTCTTGCCCAGGGACACGACGACATGCTGACTGCAGTGGGGTTTGAACCTGTGACCCCCTGATCCAAAAACCAACTCACAACCCACTGCACCACACGCCTCCACCTCAGTACCACAACTTTTACCTGACAAGTTTCTGCCTCAACTGCTTTTACATTCTTATTTTACTTTACGGTTTTCCAGTCTGGGTGTCGTGTGAGTTTACTTCTCACAACTTTAACCCTATCACAGTTTGTGTTCAGTTCATGTGATCCCATCATTTTGGTTCCTGAAAGTGCTTTATTCAGGGTCTGGTTGCACTAAGCTAAACCTCTTGTGTCACTTAGAGCAGCAAACAAAACAGATGATGCCATAATGCTGAAATGAAGGCTTCAAAAAGGCTCTCCACCTATGGATGACCACTTCTTATTTACATTCTAGTCCTTCGACATAGTGTCCAGCAGTTCCAGCACAGTATATAACTGTCCAGTGAAGTATGCTGTTGTGACATCCCTCAGCATCAGAGGTCACAGATTGCAGGGTGAGTCATCAGGCTCTGGTCCAACATCAGCCTCCTCTGTCTCTGGACCTGGCATGCTCTGCCAATTAAATGAACCTTGTTAGGGGAACTGTGATGACCCATAGCCAGCGTGAAGTAAAGCGGGGGACTACACTTGATGATTGATTGCAGGATGTGTGGCACGCATGGACTAAACAGCTTAAGAGAATGACGTAGATGTGGACAGCAAAAAAGCTAAATTAATAGGTGGTTGTTGGATACTTTTCAGACAGCTGTCCTGTGTTACCCATCCCTGTCTAACTATATCAGACTGCCTTCTCTTGTTGTCTCTTGTTCTTGTGCTGACAGCCTCTCTCTCCCTCTCTCTACTGTTGTCACATCTTATATCCATGAGATGTGACTCTCTGCCCGGACCATCTGGTATTGTCTTTTTTGGGATTTTCTTTTTTCTCTTGCACTGCTGCTCTATGGCACCTGTAGCTCTAGTGCTCATGTCCCTTTCTACATTACATTTCTACAAAAATGAACTACCCACTGGCATCTGTAAAAAAGCTAGCGCAACCTTGGCATAACAAGCCGCAGCAATTGTTCGACTTGAAACTACTATAACTCTAACTGACTCACAAGGTGTATTGAATAAGAATCTTTGAAAAGGGGATTATGGTTTAAACACCAGTACTTCCAATTTGAGGTAAATGCTCAACATCAGCCTATCTATTTAATGCTACTTCATTTCAATACCCCACCAAAATTCAGAGGGAATTATTGTGTTTCTCCTCTGCTTTATTTAGAGTAATTGTTTGTAATTACTTGTCTGATAAAGTATTGCATTTAAAATAAAAACAAATGAGCATGTCAAACATAATTTAAACCATGCTTACCTTAGTTGGAATGTATTTCTTCTTCTTTGATTAGTAATGCATATGACAGATTTGGCAAGCAGCCTGGCTCGAAGTCTTAATGATTACATTACATTACATTACATGTCACTTGTTAGACGCTTTTATCCAAAGCGACTTACATACTCAATACTGTGGACAATCCCCACAGGAGCAATGTGGGGTGAAGTGTCTTGCCCAGGGACACGACGACATGCTGACTGCAGTGGGGTTTGAACCTGATCAGTGCTCAAAACTGATAAGACAATGTTTTTTATATGATACTGTGGATGTTTTCACTGAGGATATTTGATCTCCGATTGTTTATTTGTTCCTTTTCTGTCAAATGTGATGAGACAGCAGATGTGACCTCGGACAGTGGAGGTGTTTGGCTAACTCCTCTATCGGTGTCACAGAGTCTGGACTGTCTGGCTGAGACAGGAAGGGCTACAGTTATCAGCTCCTCAGTTCACACCGATAGCTGTTTTACGTTTCTCTGTTAGCTTTATCTCAAATCTGAGACCGAAACTACTTCTATCTCTTTTAACAACATTTTCTGCTAAGGCATGTGGTTGAAGAATAGTATGTCATACCCTGCTGTGTCCTAGTAGAACCTTTACTCTTAAGTTTATGTGCAAAGTGTTATATTTTCAAGCAAATACTCTGTTCTTTGAATTGTCTAGAACTGTAGATTAAGAGGTTTTTTTCAAAACATTTTTAAATAGTCCTTGTGGAGTTATGATGTTTTATAATAATAATGTTTCAAGCATGCCTGGCTGTCTGTTCTTTTGGGTCTTTAAATGATGTGATACATCTCTCCTAATAAATGTGTTATGGTTTGACTAGTTATTTTTCTGCAAAGAGTAATTTTATTTTCAGTGTAATTTTGTACAGACGTGCCTTTGTTCACCTTTTTAAAACAGGAAACTGCATGCTCTATTGCTGATAGAGTATTCCATTATGTGTCCATGTATGGGCAGCCGAGTGCTTGGAGGTTCATCTGGGATTTCAAACACCATCCAGAGCTCTCCCTCTCTGTCTAATTGAACTTGGACCACCTTTTCCAGCTGAATAGGTTTGACGTTGTGGCGATGTTTGTGTTGCCAGAAATAATGATCTGAACACAATTATATCAACTGACTGACAGCACTTATTACATTTAACAGTAGTTGTTGTGCGTTGAATATTGTTGTTTATATAATCATTTCTTTAAGCATTCCCTCTTTTGAAACTGAAGCAAAATGTGTGTTCCAGAATGTATAGCATATTGGCAGTGTTAATGGATGATATCGCACAAAAACTAACCTTTATATACACTTATGACTTTGTGTCATTAGCCAGCCATAATCAAGTCTTCACCATGCTGAATGGTGTCAAGAGTTTGTGTACCGTCTGACTATGATGACTCATCCTGCCTGATATTCCTCACAAGGTTCACTGGTTGGGACATCTGAGGTTAATTACATGAGAAAGCAGTAAACACATTTTATTTATTTTGAAAATCAAGCGCAAGTTACGGAATAACATTTTCTCTTTTCCTGGAATCCCTGCTGGCACAACACGTGTATTTCCAAAAAGCAGAAAGAGAAATTATACTTTCCAAAATGCAGTGATATGATAAACAAAGTTGTAAACTGACAAAAGTTTAGTGGGTACATTTTACGCAGCTTTATGTGCTTGTCACAAAAGCAGTGTTCTTATCAACTCAACACAGTAAGTGAGTCACTGCTCCCCATCAAAAGGAAGCAGCTTTTAGTGATGCCATGCTCCACAAAACACTCGAAACGCTCGCCTATGCGTATAACAGGAAAGTACGCTGTGAAATAAACTTGTAATGTGTCATTTGCGGAAGTCATACACATACGGAAATGCATTATCTGCTCCCTGCAGCCTACTCAACCCTGATACTGTGTTTATATCATTATGACACGAGGGATTTTAAGACACTGTCCAGCAATGAAATGCATCCACAGGGATCAGAGAAATAAGAGGAAATGGGCAGGGGTAACAGAGCCCCTGTACAAACAAGAAAGGGGATGGAAAATACATTTGCTTGCCTGTGCACAGTAAAGCCCCAAGGGGAATAAGAACAAATAAAAATGCATTTGAATAGTTCTGTCCACAGTCTACTTTAGAGGACTTCTGTGAGGAATGCAGATGTTTGATTGCTACCAAAGGCTTTATGGACACATTTGACATATTTCAAATTCTCCTGAATAACATGAGTGCACTCCAGTGGAGATTGCTGAAACTACACATTGTCACACAATTCAATGTACATGGGGGAGATTTGCTGTTTTTTTTTTATTTGACCATTTATTACAGCAAATGTAGACCTATGGCCAATATTAAGCACGTCATTGCAGTGACTTAATCTGGTTAGTGTGACATTTAATTTTCCTCCAATAACTAAAGCAACTAAGGTGCAAACCATAGACTGTATATATGGTGCAAACACACATCACCAACATTTATTTTGTTTCGTTGTCCTCTTCAAATTAGTGACACATTTAATTGTTGCTGTAATTAATTAGTCAAATAACAACAAATAATAAATAAATGTTTTGTGGAGAGCCATTTTATTTGTTGTTATATCTAGGCTTTTTTTGTGTATGTGCAAATAAAAAAATTAGATTATTAATCCATTCAAAATTATTAATCAATTCGACAATCAATGAAACAGTCCTAAAGTCTTGTTTAGCATACAATATTATGATTTAGTTTTGATTATGATTATTGAAATTAAATAGATGATAGTAAAATGTTTGACATTCTTATTTAAATCAGAGGACAGTTAAAGGACTGCCATGGTGGATATTATTTGCAGGTTGAGCCCTTACACTCCAGAACGGTAGGTGGAGATATTTGATACTGTGCAGCTAGTTGTGATCTGACATACTACAGAAGAAGAAAAACACAACAAACAACCAGGAAGTGTCAGTTTTTCAGATGTTTTCAGCATGGATATGTAATAAGAACGTTTTCAGTCGTGCCAGTTATACAATTATATCAACTATATGAATTTCCAGACATTGGAAATTGTTTTTCGGACGTGGCTTTAAGCTCAACAATGTGAGATAATATGTGGCACTTCACGTGAATTAAGAAGAGATGAGATTCAAAACTACCGACAAGGAAGAGAGGAACTAAGAACTGCCAGAAGTCCGAAGGTCGACTTAGTACCACTTTATTACTTTTCTTCTACAAAACATGATGAGGTGTGGCGTAACAAAGTCAGCTCTTCCTTCTTCACTAATGTGGCGACTTTCATGGGTCTGCCTTTGTGAGCTTACTCAACGTTAGCTTCTGAAGTTTGTCTCGTAAGAGTTTGAAGGAGTGAGGAAAATGGACGAACTGATCACTATCAGCTCTGACAGTGATAAAGACGAAGACTCTGATGTGGAAATCATCGGCTGCTTCAGTAACGTTGTGAAGCGGGATGACCCGCTGCCCCTCTCGGCGGTGAGGGTGGACGTCGATGCTGTCAAAGTCAACATCCCAACGGTGAGCTAACATGCTAGCTGCTCGAGCATTTCTGTAGAAACTGTTGCTAAGTGACTTTTAAATTCTTGGATATGTCGAAGGAGCTACAGCTACTTCATTATGCGTAACTTTACCAGAGTCAAAAGCCATTATATTCTCCTTTGTAATTATGTAAGTATCCACATCATTAATTTGACATATCGTTTCTGTTTACTTTTCCCTTTTCTAGCTTTACATTGACCTCTCAAATCCTAGATGGACTCTTCCAGAGCTGAAGTCGCGCAAAAAACATTTAGATTTGCCCGAGACCAATGTAGTTAAGCGGACAAAACAAGAATTGAAGACATTTTCACCAGATAACTCTAAAACGAAAATACCAAACAAACACGATTTAAACCTACGGACGAGGTCTTCAAGAGACCCAATCGTTAAAGCACTGCAGCAGGACTGTGGACATGTAAAGCCAAAGCAGAGATGTTCGGATTCTCAAACACAACTTCAAATTCAGACAAGTAAAGCCCATCATAGCAATGCATTTGTCAAATTAAGACGATTGGCTGTTCTTGAAAGTCATGTTGCAGATATGAAAACATTAAAGTGTTCTGTATTTTTAAACAAAGATTGTACAAAAATGTCCCTGCACCGTGGTCAACAAGACATCAACAGTGAAACCCCAGAATGCAATAGTAATTTATCTACCACTTTAAATGGTCCTCACATGGATTCCTCACTGGCTGAGTCTCCTTCTAAGGTGGGTGAATCTCTTATCAGACAGGAGGAAAACGAAAACAGCAAAGAGTTTACATGCACACAGTTAAATGCTGAAATATCTCAGCATCTAGAGGGCCCAGCTGACCCTCCCTGCTCAGATAAAGGGTGCTCTGTTGAGACCTCCAAGGAGCACAGCACTCATGAAGGTGAAAGGGATGACATCATAATGATCTCCTCTCCAACATCCCCTTCTTTATCTCCAGATAAAGCAGAAAATTCACTACAACGAGAAGTACTGTGCTCTAAACTAAAACAAATGGAATTAGACAAAGCTGAATCTACGCAAAGCTTTCTCGCTGATCCCTCGTTCCCCAACTCTCCTCCCACTGGACCAAACCCTTCTGAGAATGTTGTCTGTGACTCTCCATCCCACTCAAGTCCCATATCTCATAACCTTATGAGGCACATCAGCCCAGCAACAATCTCTCAGAATACACCAGCTGGAACTATATCTGAAGGGCAATCGGAGGATGTTAAGGCTGATGACGCCTCAAACCGCTCTGACGTCTTGCTCCATGGCATCCATGATGAACCTTTTATTTCAGTGGCAAATGAGGACATGGATGACAAATCTTGGGCCGGGACATACGGAGACTGTTGCAGCCCAGGGCCTTTTATTTGGCAAGAGGGGAGTGACGGAGACGAAGTTAACAAAGAGAGCAGGTTTGATTTGGACTTTAGGGCAGCTAGTAGAGAGGACAGGCACTTTGTGTGCCCAATTGCACTCAGGAAAATAATGTCTGGACATGCTCAAGCCCTGGTAAGAGACCGTTTTCCAAATATTTAAACATTTGACACTTGATTATATGCTAGGCTAATTATATAAGATTGACTATTCTTCTTATTATGTTTTATTTTTAGCCTGATGAGGAAGATGAAGGTTTTGGAGCTCCTGAGGTGCTATGCCGCCAGAGCCTGGGTGTGGTTTATACTACCATTGAAGAAAACCTCACAGAATGCACTTTGCAGCACTTATCTGACCTGCTGCAGCCTGGTTACTATCCCCCCAAGGATATCACCTCCCACCTGCTGCGTGGCGTTCTGCTCGACCACCAGTGTCCTTATCACCGCTGCGTGCAGGCATTTAACCTGCTGATGAGGACACAGAGGTGAGGGAACCAGGGGAATAGGAGTTAATAATATTGTTTTATTTGTTGCCTTTCGTATTTAAATTCTTGATCTATCCTTTACGTCCTCTCTTTCATTTCGTCTTTCTGGTTCCATCTTTGACTTCAGAGATTAAAGCTGCTTTCTGATTGCAGACACCACATTGCTGATAAAACTTCAGCTCCATGGGACTGGGAGTTGTTGACCTCAGTCATGGTCAATCAGGTACTAAACCAGATAGCAATATTTGTGAATAATCAGAAAAGCTGGTTGATATAGCACATGATATTACACTTTTCCACTGGTGTTGTTTAACAAGACTATGTTAAATGAGATTTGGTTGTAACGTGAGAAGTGGGTTTAAAACAACTTTTGTGTCAATGTCTTTTAAGAAGCACAAAAACAAATTGCCAAAGTACTGTTGCATTGTTGATGACATCATTAGGGAAAAATATTTAGTTTTTCTGCTCACTGTTCCAGAAGTAAACAGACATATCGCAGCTTGTCTGTGTTTTCTGTGAACTGATATTGTCCCTTTCTGTGCTTCTAAATTCCTAAGGACTGTATACAGAGGCATCGGAGTGAGGTTGTGCGTATGCTCCTGGATTATGTTGTGCAGACTTTGGAAGATGACTTTCAGGCCAAACAATCTATCTCTACCCTCCACCACTCCATCGCCAAGACAACGTTGTCATGTGATGAGCAGTTCCCACGCGTCAGGTGCATACCGTTTTTTGTTGAAACTGTAAGGAAGCTGTAGTTTTATGATGCCCTTGAATTATCGTTTGTCTTGTAACAGTGATCTTCTTTTCCTTTCCTGTGCTTAATGTCCACATGTGGCTTAACAGTGGCATCTGCTATTAAATACACTACTAAATAGCTACATGTTAGTGGATGTTTGCCCTAAACCTCACCTCTTTTGTTGTAAACTAAACTTATAGCTGCCTTACAGTCCCATTCAGGAAGAGTACTTTTGGTCAGTCATCATTCTCGGTCAGAGCAATACAAAACTGGAACTCTCTACCCACTCAAATTAAAGACATACACACACATACCACCTTCACAGCTCACTTAAAAACATGGTTCACTGAGAACTACACCTGCACACACTAGTCTGTGTTGAGTATGGCGTGAGTGTTACATGTTGTGTTACATGTTGTGATCATGGATGTTGCCCCTCGTTTCTGTTATGTGATTGTGATGTGCTATATGTGACATGTACTGTATGTAGTAACGCGTGTTGTTTATTGTTCTCTTTTATCCTCTCTTATCCTTTCGCCTGTATCTACTTGTCTTTCATCCTTTTTATTTTATTTTATATTTTTTTATAACTAATGCTGTTGATATATTGTGATTTTAAGGGTGTCTATTACCATCTGGCCGGGGACAACAGCTGGAAATTAGCCATGTCGGCTAAAGCTGCTCCATTTACTGTTTTTGTGACAGTTCATCGATGGGGACTGTCCACGACACTATAAATAAATAAACTAAACTAAAAACTAAATTACAAGAGTTAACACCCAAGCAGTCCCTTGACAGATTTGATATTCTTTGTTATTTCAGGTTAAATTACAGATTGCTAAATCAGTATTACAATTCGAGAAGCCTGTTAATTTAAACAGACCTACCAAAACTCACTTTATGTTACAGTCCACATTTTGAAATATACAATGAAATATTACAAAATCAATTTGTCAGCACAATAACATTATAGTTTATAAATACATGCATTTTTGTTATTTCTAGGGAGATCATCAAGTGGCTCTTTGCTGCCATTAGGAAATCAACAGAGCCTGGAGAGAGTAGAGAAGCAGCCAGAGAGAGGGATGAACAAATCCGGTAATATACACATTTTGAAATATATTTTTAGATGACATTGTCTTACGCATGGATGTACCATTATGGCTGCTTCTATGTTTTTCAAGTTATCAAGTTTTGGTCCCTTTGTCCCGTTCAGAATGGTGTCGACCTTCCAGAGGATGTTGACCTTGGCTCTGGAGGTGGACCGCTCTCCAGCTCTAACCTCTGCCAAGCTGTCCCAGGAGCTCTTCCACATACTCATCAGCAATACACCTCTACGAGCACACAGGTGAGGAGGACAGATGGGATGTTTTGTATCACGATTAAGGGAAAGTTGAGAGGGAGAAAATATTGGCTTTCAACTACCTTTTCCTGTGCATTGGGTCACTGGAATTATTGTAGACTTATGAAGGTGTCAAATGTTATTTGCTATTTAATTGGTAAACGATTTATAGTGTATTGATATGGCTTTTAATAAAAAAATATATAACAATTTGTAAAATATCCTGAAAAGTAGAAATAACAAATGAGTGGAATTAATGTCACATCTTTTTTCTGATGATTAATACATGTAAATGGACTCAAACTGTTCATACAGTAAAGGCTGTAAATGGATTAATTATGCAAAATGGATTTCCCCTGTTGAACATGGATTTTCTATGTTTTAGCTCATTTAAATTAAAAAGATGCTTAACAATAAATACAAGTGAGAATGAAACAGAACATTTTGAAGTCTATATCATAACACGACTCAGGATTTTCTTTCATGTAATAATAATTTCTATACCGTTTAAACATTTTAATTGCATTGTTTAAATGTGAACGTATTTCAGACTTCCATGGATAGTCTTTCAATTAATCCATTGAGTAATTAATGGTCAAATAGAGTACAAATTGAAATGATTCTAATGGCACTATGCGTCTCTTTTACCTACTTTTCCAAGCCATCTCTGATTTATCTGTTTCTGACGACCAGGATGTTGTTGCTGGAGAGCCTGCAGAGCAAGCTGCTGAGATGTAAGCTGTTGGAACATCTGTTGGACTATTCATGCCCACTGAAAATCACTCTGCCCATGTCGCTCAGTCTTCTGCTTCACTTTTTGAAGCACTGCACTCTGGCACCAGACACTTCGGTGAATATCACTCTTGCATCTTGTTTTCATCTTAAGCTTAACCTCCACCCTTTGCTATTCACAGATGTGAGGGTATTAACATATCACCTTAACAATAAAATATTGCTGAATTTAAATGTAAATACAGTGAAAACATCTTAGGTACATGTCATATCCCCAGTAGGGATTTAGAATGCATATTTTATGTTATTTTGGGGAATCTGAAAATTAAGAGTTTGATACAACAAGCAGCCATTTATCGTAACTGGCTGTCCATGACTGTTCTCCAGGATGGTACTGAAAGGTGGCAGAGGTGGGAAGAGTTGGTACATCTTCTCTGGATGTTGCTGCTCAGCTACAACAAAGCAATGAAAGGTGAGAAGTTGGTCAATTCCAGTACATCTCATAACAATGTTTGCAGCTATAATCATGACATCCCTGTAAAGTCTGTGAAATTAAGGAGAACATATATTTTTGTAGTGACAATGCTAGTTGTCTGAAGTTAGCTTTCCAGTGTTCTACTGCAAGGAAGCAGACAGTGCTTGGATCCTGTGGGAAACCTCAGACTGCAGTGAATATGCAAAATGTGTAGCAGTACCACATTTGTGTGTTTTTTAATCTATAATAACTATTTTGAATTCTTTGTATTGAATACACTTTTTTTTTTGGTCATGTTATGCCAAATTTGACAAAATAGGTTCTTGGTGAACTTTGTACATATTTCCTGAGCTTGGTCCTTGATTTTTCTTCCCCACTGTATAAACATTTTTGTATTTTCATTATATTTAAAGTATAGTTGTGAAAGTGTTTTAACCACTGATGTCAGCGTAAATGATTTGTGCAGAAGAATGCTTCTGAGACATGGGTTATAATACAAATCTGATAAACAATGTTACAATCTGATGCCCCTTAATACAGTGTACCATAATTCTGACTATTAAAACATTCCAACAATTTAGTAGTAAAAATGTAAATAACTTCACTTGACACTTCCAAGCAAACTTTGATTTTCTACTAACAATTGTATCTGTTATACCCAGGCTATCTGAGCAACTCTATCTCTGAACAAAGAGGCAGGGTTGGCAACTTGGTCTACAGACCAGATGATATGGTATCAAAGCCTGCCATTTGTGATGCCATGCAGGCCTTCCGTTCCAGATCGCAGGCTGACGTCGGCCAAACCTTACCTCTCCATGTTGAAGAGTCCCTCACTTATCTACAGGATCACCTGCTAGATGTCTGTCAGTGTTGAATTAAAAACGGTTTGTTGGACGAACTATAAAGCATTAGGTCTACAGACCAGATGATATGGTATCAAAGCCTGCCATTTGTGATGCCATGGAGGCATTCCGTTTCAGATCGCAGGCTGACCTCGGCCAAACCTTACCTCTCCATGTGGAGGAGTTGCTCACTTATCTACAGGATGACCTGCTGGATGTATTTCAGTGTTGAACAAACTGTTCTCAGTTTGTTTGAACTATAACTATATTAGACTAAGTTATTTATTTATTTTTTTACATTTATTGGTTTGAATTCAATTGTACAATTTTTGGAATCTGAATAAAAGCTGAGTCTGGTCTAATGAAATGAAACTATATTGACTACTGTTATCTCTTAATAAATTACCATAATTTTCGAGCCAGTAAAGACCTATATCTGCTTCTCATCAACCACAATCTTCACTTTATCTTGTCATACAAATGCAGTACACATTGATTCCACTACATGTACTTTAACTCTGCTAACTATTCAAAATGTGTAAACACCCTATGATAAATTAAACTGCTACTATTTCCATCCATTTTATGATCGATCACTCATCACCAAAGATTGTATTTACTCTGGTTCAACAGCTGGTTGGGCCGTCTACCCGCCGACCAATAGGATCACGCGCTGTTATCGGCAGAGAAAAAAAATCCTTCAGTCGCCATGATACAGCAGCGGAAACGGGTGCGAAGTAGCTAGAAAACAAAAGAGAACACGCAGTGGTCCTCGCGATTTGGTATGCTCTTGCAGGTAAAAAGGCAATTCTTCCTGTTGGACCTAAACTGTTTTCACTAATTTCACCCAAATGTTATGTAGATGTTCGAAGCGTTTTTGTGGTTTTCCGAAGTAAAGACTAGTTTAAATAGGAAGTCGGTCAGCTTCGAATAATTGGGATCTGTTAGCTTATAGCTAACAAGCTAACTCAAGCTAAGCTAAATAGCTCGCAATTGCTTGCAAACCCAGCATTGTGTAGCGTTGTGAGCTTGTTAGCTCACAGTTTATCTCAATCTCAATAGTGATTCTTGCTACTGGAGGCTAGCTAGCGGCAGCTAACTAATGCGCTGTTTCGTGGCCTAGTTACAATGCGCAAGTCAGTGCTTTGCTATTATGTAAACAATATTTGTGCAGTATATTTTTGTCATTTTGCTTCTTTTTAGCTTACCCATTCGGACAAAGCATTACAATCAGTGAACTAATTGGTCAATTTACCCAATTCCGCGTGTCCGTTTGCAATATTTGGTAATTAGCAAGCGAGCTAGCTTCTAGCTATTTTAACGTTAGCGTCTGTTATGTATAGTTTGATAGCCAACGTTACCTATTTAGGTTAAGCTAGGCTAATCAGTTAGCGACAACCAAGAGGAAAAATCTACCAATCTTAGTTTGTCCTAACATGTTTACTGTTTTGGAATATGGCTTTTAAGTTTAGCTCTTTAACGAAGGAATGCTTTGTCGTTTATTTTTAACACAGTTAAGTAGTTTGCTATCTTGCTACGTTGCTGGTTTAATGTTTATTATGTAACGTTAACGTAAGTAATGAAATCACAGCCTCATAAGAAGCAATTTAGTGTTGGTTGTCAGTTTGATTATAGTACTCCAGGCGGTTAAATTACTGTTTTTATTCAACCATATCTCGAACAAACGTGTTGGTTGTGTTTGATTATGGCAACATTTAAAAAGTGCTAACATGTGTGCATGAGGTATTTTGGTAAAAGGCTCAAGCAAACACGGTTAACTGAACTAAACCACCGTTAACCTTATTAATAGCTTTAGTCTGAGGACACAATTACTTAATTGATTTACAAAGAGGCCACCATTGGATAATTTTGACTATTTCCATGCACATTTTTAAAAAGCACAAATATGTATCTAGTGTTATAGGAATGCCCAAGGAAAAATATGACCCGCCGGATCCCAGGCGGATGTACACAATCATGTCCACTGAGGAAGCAACAAACGGGAAGAAGTCATACTGGGCTGAGCTGGAAATCAGCGGTGAGTATTGTCGTAGAACTCCTAGCTTTGTAGATAATTGTCTTTAATTCATACCAGTCAGACATATCTCTTTATTTTTGCATATAGATTACGCACAGTAGGCCGTTTTCCTACGTTCAAAAAGTCCTATTACTAGATTGTCACTTTTTTAATATGAAGTGGGTAAATCAATGTAGTAATCACATCGGTAATTTGAAGAGCTGCAACTAAGGATGACTTTTTATTGTCAATAATTTGCCCTTTACTCTCTTGATTAAGCAGTTTGCCCATAACATGTCAGAAAATATCATTAAATGTTCATCAGTTTCACAGGGCCAAAGGTGACATCTTCAGATTTCTTGCCAAAGCGCATCATTATACAGCATTTTAACAAGAACCGAGGCTATGACCAGTGCATTTTAGGCATTTTCCATCAAAAATGAATTGAATGATTAATCCATTATCAGTGTTATTTCTTGGTAATTCGTGAGTTTGAACTATTTATTTTAATTGGGAAATGTATGCAGCCATATAATTATGCTTGAGCATCATCTAATAATTGTGAAATCAGTCAACCCTGTTCATTGCAAGGAGAGGGGTCATACAGTAGTTTGATACTTGGCTTTAATCCTCCTGTGTGTGTGCATTTCCCCCCTGTCTCACAGGCCGAGTAAGGAGTCTCAGCACATCCCTGTGGACTCTCACCCACCTCACTGCCCTGCACATCAGTGACAACTCATTGTCACGCATCCCGCCAGACATTGCCAAACTCCAAAACCTGGTGTACCTGGATCTCTCATCCAATAAGATCAGGAGCCTGCCGGCCGAGCTCGGCAACATGGTGTCTCTCAGGTTAGTTATTTACAGCTAAACATGTACCCCCTAATTCAGGCACAATAGAAAGGAAGACTAGTTATTTCCATTATGGCAAAGTGATTTTAAAAAAAAATGTATTTATTGTAGATCCATTGAATATCTGCCCATATTGTTCCATATACATTTCACATTAACAATGAATCTGAAGTTAAACAGGCAAATGTTTTTGGGCAACTGTATTTGAACAGGAATAAAGTTGGTTGTTTCTCAGGAGGTTTGATTTCTAATCATCAAATTCCCCTATGTCCTCCACAGGGAACTGCTTTTAAATAACAACCAGTTGCGGGTTCTGCCATTTGAATTGGGGAAACTGTTTCAGTTACAAACACTGGGGTTGAAAGGTGAGTGGCTCACCGAGGTTATTTTGTAGCCATTCTACCCTTGAAATCTCTTTGTTGTGTTGGCGACGATTCAGATTGATTTGCTTTTCCTTCACCAGGAAACCCACTTGCACAAGAAATTATGAGCCTCTACCAGGAACCCGATGGCACGCGGAGACTGCTCAACTACCTGTTAGACAATCTGGCAGGGGCTATCAAGCGCAGTAAGTACCCCTCTGTCTGAACGTTTTGAGACCCGACAGGAATTTCATATTGCCAGTTGTTTCTATATACTGAAAATATATGTACGTTAGTAGTTAAAAATGGGGTCATTGTGAACCTGACAGCTTAATGTGCCCCTTAACTTCTTTGCATTCATTTTTCATCTGGTCACAAATATTAAATATTTGTTGTTCTTTGCTCAGTACCAACAGAGCAGCCCCCAGCCCGGTCATGGATCTCAATCCAGGAACCCGACAGGACACGGGACTCGGGTAAAGACCAAACACATGAAACTAGGGATTTCCCAAAAACCAAGACTTTGGTACCAAGTTGATGTCATTCTGTTTCACAGCAACTCAAATGGATATTAAAAGAGTGTTTGTTAAAGAGATTCATTTGATTTTAATGGTGGTATTGAACTAGTATCGTGAATCCTGCTATTTCACTGGTATTTTGGTTGTGTTGCTTGCTGTTAAACAAGTGTGGAAATGTCTCAATCCCAAACCTTTTTAAACCATGTTATTTTTTCTGTTTCTGCCCTCAGCACTCTTCTCTGTGATGTGCTACAATGTGCTGTGTGATAAGTACGCCACACGACAGCTATATGGCTACTGCCCCTCTTGGGCTCTTAACTGGGAATACCGAAAAAAATCCATCATGCAGGAGATAATGGGCTGCAATGCAGACATCATCAGTTTGCAGGTAAGAGATGGACATCAAAGCATGTTTGTTTTCACGGGAATTAACTTAAGCAAACTTAATGCAAATTTAACAAACACCATCATCAGAGACAACTTCATGCAGCTCAAAAAAGACTCTGTCAAGTTTTCATTGACCTGGAATCAGTCTGAATGTTTTGCTATTTATGAGGCAATGTTTATAGTACGACTTGCAACATTTGATTACGTTCTGATGTTTGAAAATGTAAGATTAGAGTGTCCTGTCATTTTGTAAAGTCTGTTTTTTTTTGTTTTTATTAAATGTGTTTTTGTATTGAGTTTTTCTAGTATATTATTTTACAAACATCTATATCAAATGGAGCAGGGTTAATATAGAGCACAAAGATACTTTATTGTTTTTATCAATTCAAAATTGTTACATTATTTCCCATGCTTGCTGGTGTTATAGCTGCCGCTCCTTCCTTCAGCTGTATATCTTTTAACAGTATCTTACTTATCCGAGTTAGGTTGTTTTCGGAAGGGGGAATTTGTTATACTAGCATGACTGTCTGTCTTTCTTGTTGTCAATCCTAACGAGTTTCTCTCTGATTAAAGGAAGTTGAGACGGAGCAGTACTACAACTACTTCCTGCCTGAGCTGAAGGAGCAGGGGTACGAAGGGTTCTTCAGTCCAAAGTCACGAGCCAGGACCATGTCAGAGTCGGACCGTAAACATGTGGATGGTTGTGCCGTTTTCTTCAAGACAGAAAAGTATGTACCTACAATTTTTGCATGAATGTTTTACGGCCTGTATCTGTTGTTTGACTTGACGAATTATCTCACTAATCTGTAGTTCCAAGATTATATGTTATGACCTAATCTCTTAGATAGTTATGAGGACAAAATTAGGATGACACTGAATTTTCTGGCTGCGTTATTAATAAAGGGTTATTGTGGTGTATTTATAGTCGATCACTAAGCTTGTGAGATTTTCCCATCATTGAACAGATGCAATGATTTTTACAGGCTAAATACGTATTGCATTGTAAGCCTTTCATTCCAGGTGCAATCCGTAATGCTGCGAAACTGAAACATGTGCTATTCTTTTTATTGCTGTGATGATATCAGCTTGGCTGAGTTTCCATTACTGACCTACCTAACCAGTTAGATTATTCTACAAAGAGATGGTCTGTTTGTTGTAGCCCTGAGACGATGCATAACATTAATTATGCTCACCTTGATAAAGAGTTTTAGAAACTTTAAAAACACAAACTGTGTGCAT